CTTTTAAAGGTGTTCCTCAGGGATCTACATATAGTCCTCATTGCTTTAATCTATGTATTAACAAAATTGTCGGTTAGTTCTAACCCTGATTCAGATTTGTGTAGGTGCAATTTGCAATCAGCCCTCGACATTATTTCCTCTCGTTTTGAATCAGATCAACTCACGCTTTCAATCAATAGGGCCAAATGTTTGGTCTTTTCAAAAAAAATGAGAGATCCTATGGTTACTCCTCTGCTCAGCTATGGTCCTTCCTTTTAAGTTTTGTCCTACACTTGAAACTTTCCTCAGCAGCTCAAATTGACAAAACTGCCAAACCATATTTTCAATCCATTAACGTATTGAAATCGATTTGTTGCATTTCTTGGGGCTCTGGCCCCTCTTTCGTGAATAATCTGTGTCTTGGCTTAATCGGACCAAAATTAGAATACGCCTGCTCGCTCTCATTGAACATCTCAAATAAGGACCCTCCGAAATTATGCAGAATCCAATGGATATGCCTTCGTCTTACTCTCGGTGGCTTGAAATCTACACACACGCTGACCCTTGAGCAGATGCTAAACGTTATGCCTCTGCAAGAAAGGTTTCGTTATTCGCCAATTTTTCATCTAATTCACCTTTCATTTATAACTTCATATCATCCAATTTCTCCCCCTCCTTCTGTAAAATTTTTGTTGACAAAATTAATAACGTCAACGTTCTAGCAACAGGTGTACACAGGTTATTCAAAACTCCTCTTGGTTCTCAATATTTTCGCCCATTAATTAGGTTGCTACCATTTAGAAAACCCACAGTTACTCTGGCAGAGGTACACTACCGTTACTCGAACTTGGTCAATATCAAATAGGAACATTTTTCACTCATCTTTACTGATGGAAGACCGATGTTGTAAACGGCGGTTTTTGACTTCCAGACATTAACATAGAATCCTACTACTCAAACCACCCATGTAGCAATATATTTTCGATTGAATGCCATCCGATCCTGAAAGCTATTCCTTTAGCAAGTGCTCAACCTCAAAAGAAATTCCTTATAGTGTCAGGCAACCTATCTTATCCGCTTTACAATCATTTCTCACAAGGCAAACTCACGTTTACATATTAGAAATCAGATCCTTACTTTATAACCCCAAGTCTAATACATTTTCTTTTCACTTTCTCTGGATGCCCAGTGACATGGGTACCCTTGGCAACAACACGAAGACGAAATTGCGTGTTCCAGCCCATCTCATTTTAGTAATCGTGCTGTTATTTTTGAAGGTCTGAGAACAACGAACAAAAAGTATCCAATCCCTTTTTTGACAACAAATCCACAAAAAAGTAAAGCGCTTCGGTTTATCAATTGCGGACTGAGACGCGACGTTATTTGTCTTATTAACCGTCTGATGTTTAACCATACGAGATGTAATGATCATCTATTCAAAATTAACTTAGTAAACAACCCTTTATGTGTATGTAGAGTCTTACAATCCACTGATCATATCCTGTTTGATTGTGTGAATGTTACCACTTCTATTCGCCACACCACACTTCCCAAATTGAGTATATGTGCCTTCATGATCTCAGCATTCTTCATATTTTCCCACAATTTAACAGCTTACTTCACAGTCTTTTCTGCTTTTAAATCATGTCATCAGCATATATAAGCGTTTCCAATCAAATGATCAACTTACTCCCTTTTACAGTTTTTTACTTTCACAGTCATCAATTTCTTTATATAACACTTTATGTGCCTAGAGCTCCTGATCTTCCATCTACTGTGACGCTGGAGGCGTACCATCAATGTATGGGCAGATAGGACTTGGAAGTCTACTGCTAATAAGAGGACCCACCGCTCGGTAGATAAGGATATTAACATTGACATTCATGCGAAATTACTTTTAGAATCACATGAATCAATATAAAATAAATTACCTTGGTAAGATAACAAATCTTATTGGAAAGTCACAGAAATTTCAATATCAAATTTATGCCCAGAGAAACAGCGAACATGAGGCGCAGTATTTGGGAGATGATAGGTATCCAAAATTCTTCCTAGAATAATTGATCATTTCACTGGTTTTAGGCAACATCCGCCAGCTGCTGCGAAATATTTATAAGCAATAAATAAGCAAAAAGCAGACTCTTCAAACTTTTTCCCACACTGCTAAGTCATCAAATAATAATATTGAAACGATAGACCACAAATTTGTAGTATCTGGTCATACCTTTCTACTGCATAACGGTGTCTGTCTCTTGGCTGCAAATTCAATGGATGAGATTCTCGAAAAATAAAGGTTATACGATGTTGTATAGAACTTCTTTAGATGATTCTAAATTCCACGTTTTGAGGAAGACCAAAAATATACGGAAATATTAAGTTACTTTCGTCATACACTACCACTATACCAGTAGTGGAGAAAAACATAAAGATATTATGTGTTTATCTCGATATACCGTATAGTTTTTCAGGAACATTTTAAATATCTAAAGAACTCGTAATGATAAACACCCAAAATATTAAAATTGGATTACTTTTTTAAAATATAAATGTGCATGAATTATTTCATTACAATTATTGTTTATAATAAAATTCATAGTTTATTTTTTTTTCGGTATGTTGAATGGAGATGGACTAAGTCAATAGATTTGTGGCTCATATTCCAGATAATAAACTGTCGTAATTTTTGGTCACAATTATGTACAAAACGTAACAAAAAAAAGCCGTAATAACTGGAGCCAGCATGTTAAGTGTAATTGTGCTTGTTAAGTTCTTGAAAGTCAAACAGTGCTGCAAACTTTGGCTGAAAACGAAAAGGAATGCTATGGTAATAAAAGATGATTGAACGCAAAAACAAAAGAAAAAAAAAAAGGAAAGAAGATGAGAAAAAAAATTCTAAAGGGATAAATTAGCTTTTCTAATAAAGCAAGTTAGTTCCCCGAGATGACGTACATTTTTTGCTGCAAAGAGATCGAGGAGACAGCCATATATCTTGAAGAAGCTAAAGGAATCTCTAATGCCATCAAGCCTGTGACATCTGAAGATTAGATGCTCAGCAGACTCAACAACATTGCAAACTTCACAAACATCACATGGTATAGCACGAATCATTTTTAAATAAACTTTGTCACAAGTGTGACCACTCATGAGTCTATAAAGAATTCCGATTTCCCAGGAATTAAAAGAGGATACAGAAAAGGGTTTGAATTGCAAAACAATTTTCATCTTTCAGAAAAACTTCACTTAAGATGCAGAAATCAACCTTGTTTGAGTTTAGGAAAATCCAAAAACGATAGGTTACGTCGGGCACTTTGAATATTATATTGTAAAAAGGATATCATGTTGAAACTTGAGAAAGAGCCCCAGCGGATTTCCTCATAGTACTGGGGCAAGAAATGGCACAGACAGACATTTTTTCTTCAAATTCTTTAATAAAATTATAAGGGATCATCGCACGGATACTTTTTTGAATCGCGAGCAGTAAACTTTCAAGTTCTCAGGGCTGCAAATAGTTGTTTGCAATTATCAGACGTCGAAGACTTGTTTCAGACGGCTTGGAGGGTGAAGTCTTGGTTGGTAAACTGAGAGGAGATTTGCAAGGAAACGATGTCCTTTTGTCGACAGCATTATATTTATTTTTGGTTAAAATTTTGTTGGTGTTTTGATTATCATGAAATTGCAGACGTGTTGTCCAGTGGAGGGAAATTGTCGTCATAGGTGATGTCATCGAGACATTCGAAATAATTTGCGGAAAAATTTTCTTTTACCTCTTTATACGAGAGATTTTTAATTGCCATGATCCTGTTGATATTTGATTTAAGTTCCCTATTAGAGCAACACTTATTGAAAGTGTTGTGCTCACCTGAACCACAGGACAAGCACTTCATCGTCTCACAGTTCACACACTTCGGACACTTCCCACAATTAAGGCACCTGCTCTCTTTAGCTTTGCAGAATTTTGACACGTGACCGTATCTGCCACACTTAAAGCACTGCTTTAAAGTGGGTACAAAGTATTCGACCGGCAGATTACAATAATTAAATTTTATTGCCTTAGGGAGGGCTCTCCCTTTAAAGCCAATTTTGATGCTGGTTGTGGGAATCCACCCATCTTTGTTGTTGAGATTTCTTCTTTGAAAACGGACAGCGGACTTGATCGGAATATCGGATATGGCGTTTTTAATTATATCATCGACACTGTATGTGCATGGGAAGTTTCGAATAACCCCAAATCTTTCAGTGAAAGACCTCGGTATGTACGCCTTTAAATTCTTTTTAGTAAATTCGTTATTCGTAACAAAATTGTTGGCATTGGCTGCAGAGCTGAAAAGCAGTTTGGCTCTGCCCTTGCTAATGACTTTTAATTCTTGTAAGCCGTACATGTTGAAATCCTTCAAGTAATCATAAAAGTAGAGATTGAAATTAATATTGATGCGATTTCTTTCTGCGTCTGCGCATGTTTCGACAAAAACGACGAAATTGCACTTTGAAAGGCATTCGTACCAATTGATCTCGAGATTTGGGGCGGCTGTGGCACCCAAATCAGAGTGGTTGTCGATAGCCTGTTTGCTAGGCGCAATTGAAACGTTTGCGTTATCCTCTCCATTGGGAGATGAAAGAAGATTATTCTCACCCATCCTCTATCTCTTGGTGTGCCCAGTGGCGTTCATGTAGAAATCTTCAAAACAGTCGCTATCAGTAGTTATAAGATCAGACCCAGTGTCCATAGGGAGACGGGCTGATGTTGTTTTGGTTGTTATCACGGGGAACACCAAAAAAAAAGTCACAACGAAAAACAAAAAATTTAATATATGTATTGTTTTTTAATTTTTCTCTCACGAGAGATTCCTCCTCCTTCCCTCCTTTTCTGCCTTTAACATTGTTTCCTTTGTTAAAATTATCCAGCTGCCGATTGCAGATATGACGTGTTGTATCAAGTGTGAATGAAATGCGAAAGAACTCATAGTTTATATTTCATAGTTAAAGAGTAAGCGTCTATATTTGTTTATTAACAGCTGTTGCATGTATAAATTTCTCAAGCATCTGAGAGCAAGCGTCTATATTTTCTTAATATGCCTTTTATTACGTCTTGAACGGTACTTATTTGTAGTCGTGAAGTGCGGTAGTTATAGTCGTGAAGTACGACGCGAAGCGGTAAAGCGTATGCTCATCAAATTTTTGATTATCTCAAAAATAATTCAGAGTATTCGTTAGAAAGAATAGCAGAAGCTCATGAATTAATAAGTTTCACCTTTTTGGACGAACACCATGAAAGCCGAGTAGCCATACTGCATTGGCGACTTGCTCAACATATACGAGCGTCTCAAACACCTTTCATTGGTAAATAAAAAAAAAATTTTCAATTAGTTCTTTTCTTTACTATGCAAATTTTTTATTTTCATATATATACAAAAGAAAAATTTTCGAAAGTACCATTGCGGGAGGCTTATTGTAATGCCGTAGAATTTCAAACATTAGAAGAATTAGACAATATAGCCGTCGGCATTGATGCAACGCGTGTCCAAAGTCTATTGATTTGTGAACGCATTCTGGGCATAACTCATAAAGATACTTTGTTTCGTTTAACATTTCGAGGCGCTTCGTACGCCGACTCATTACAATTGCAACTCTGTATTCATCTTTGGATGCCGCTGTTGATGGACTAATAAACGCAAAAGCCTTGTAAGTACCATCGGAACGAGCAGTTTTAAAGCTCTCAACAGTGGAAAGACAAGGTAATCTATGCGACGTTTTACGTTAAATAAAAAAACAGAAAAGGTTCGTATGACACGGATTCGATAGAGCACGGTACGAATTAATCGTGTTAAACGAGGAACGCCTGTATATGGAAAGACTATCGTTTTATAAGTAGGTTTACATATTGTAAGGTACTTAAGAGACGAATCGGACAGAGAAACCAACTATCTTTAGAATTTATATGGTTACAGGTGAGCGACACTTTTGGTAAGGGACGGACAATTATGCGGACGAACTTGTTGCCAGTAAGAAAGAACGTGCCACAACTACAGCATAAAATCGCTCTTTTTCTTGCAACCATTTTACCAAGCACCGTGAAATGATAACTTTACTTTAAATGAACGTTTAAATTATACCAATTTGAAAGATTTTTTTATTAAAAATATGTAAGAAAAAAAATGGTCGTATTTTTAAATAAAATTTATATGATTAAGTAATTTTCATATATATTTATATTTTTATTTTAGATTTAAAGAAATGTTAATTGTGTATTAATTGAGTTAACGCATATTATCACTGTTGCACACCATTAACAAAACAAAAATAAATATATACATTCTGCTATTTTCTTCCCCACAAGAAAATTTTCAAACGGAAGACAAAAAGTAACAGAGTTCAGATTAAATTTAATATATTATTAATAAATTTAGATTATAATGTAAAAGATGACGAGCGACTGGCAACATCAGCGGCGGCAGCAGGGGGGTGGAAGGATCAACGCCTTGAACCAGAAGGCGAGCAAGTAGAAAAAAATGAGAGAGTGGTGCCGGACAATGAGGCACTGCGAGAGGCCGTGAGGAAATTGACTCGGAGAATCGGGCTTGGAGAACCACAAATAAACGGTAAATCAAATATAATAGAAATATATTAGTGTATTTGTAACTTATATACAAATTTTTTACCTTAGATAAAGAAGTCCGCCCGCAAAATTCAGTCCAACTCTTGGCTCATCGCCTCGTCGTAATGTAAGATTCGCTTCATGTCAAAGGTAAGTTTGCGTTTATCCTTACTTATTCTTATTTATAATTTATTTAGTTACTTCTATTTCATTTTAGTTTAAAAAGCAGGCATACACCTCCACTCATCGTTTTAGCAAATGCGATACCTCCGTAAGCGAAAAGATAAGTTTGTCATCATCTTTATATACAAAATTTATTAATCACAATATCTTTGTTTTGCAGATGTCAATTTAAACTGAATTTTCTGATTTTTGGTTCATTTTAATTAAACTCATTTCGAAACTTAAGATATATTTCTTTTTTGTTTAATTGCTGTTGCTTGGTGATTTTCCATGTCAGTGTATGAGAAAAGAAACTAGTTACTTCCAATATTTACATTCTAAAATTCGGAGCGGTCAGAAATAAACTAAAAAGATTAAACACAAAACATACTATGTTAGCTAGAAAACTCTTTCACTTGGTCTCTAAAGCAACAAAATTCGAAGTTCGCTCATTTATTTGTTCGGCGGGGACAATTTTTTACACCTCTTCTCATATAACCAATCCTATGAAAACTGAATGCGCTTCTTATAGAATTTTGTGGAGGACTTAAACTAATGTATTAAAGGCCGCAGAAAGAGGTTTTGTTAACTTTTTTCTTCCTTCAAATCAAAAACCAAGTTAACTTAACGAAAAATATCCTCATTTAATAAAGGTTTAGCTCTCTTGCGCATTGTATATTTAATGGAAGAAGGAAAATTCTCGTAAGTGCAATAATCGCAAGCCCATTTCTGTACTTTTTATTCATATTAAAATATTACGGTTGACGAGTTATTTTTTCTTTCGTTCTTTCAAATTTGTTTTGATCTCTTCATAAACTCGTTTACAAGACACCGCCTACATTTTTTCAAATATATGTAAATGTGTAGGAAAAAAAAAATTGAAAAGAAAATAATTGATTCAGTTATTTTCGAGACAATTTTCTGCGCTAATAATAGATAACATATAACCAATCCTCCTCCTTGCCCACCAACGCCACCATTTCTAGGCCTACAACTGAGAATAAGCGTATAAAAATTTGCCGCCAACTGAAAATAAGCGTCTATGATTCTCAATAATTCCAAACATGTCAGAATAACCGTCCACATTTGTTTACTATTCTCAATACTTGAACATGTATTTGTATAAAAATTGCCTGCATCTGAGAGTAAACGTATAAAAAACCGCAAAAATTCGAATATGTGTATTAATGAATTGTCTCTTTCATAGCGAGTCTGACCAAAATTGTCAAAAAGGTTGTCATGTTTTCCTTGGATATCACCAAAGTCTACGATTACGTTATCTTGACGCAGCTTCCTATTCAAATGTTTCTTTGGACCTTAAGCTTTTTATTTCAGCGTGTGTTGACAGTCGGTGCAGAAGTATATGGTTGGGGGCAGTTCTGTTAAGAACAGCGTGAGGTGTAATTATGCGTAAGTTTAATTAAAAAAAAAATTTCACGTGGAAACCTTTGGCCAATGACAGATAGCCGTCTTCATTGAAATGTGTACTCACTGAATGTATAATACTCTATATGTTTTGGTTGTCTTTCTGCTTATGTTCAGACTAGTTTCTTTTCTAACAGAACAGACTAGTTTCTTAAAAACAGATTAAATATGTGGACATTGTGTCGAGCTATTCTTTTTGGAACGTAATCCGTTGCGCGGAGTTGTATTAAAAGAAATTATGGTAATATTTTGCGCAACCCTTTAATCTTGTAAGCAAATGTATGTTTGCGCTAGTTTAGTTCTATGTATCAAAGTGCTTCGGATTTTCTTGTAAAATTTGTGTGTTAAAAGCGACATTTCATTCACACTTGACACAACACATCATCTCCGCAAACGGCAGCTGGATAATTTTTGTGTTTACCGGTGTTAGTGAAAAAAAAAAAAAAAAAAAGGAGATTTTAAAAATCTGAAAAAAGGAAAAGAGGTTTAATAAAGTAATAAAATAACCAAAGAAAACAATTTTAAAAAGGAAAAGAAGGGAAGGAGGAGGAATCTCTCGTGAGAGAAAAACTAAGAAGCAATACATATTATTATTATTATTTTTTTTTTTTTTTTCTTTGTGATTTTTTCTTTTTGTGTTCCCTGTGACAACAACCAAAACAACATCAGCCCGTCTCCGTATGGAGTCTGGGTCTGATCTTATAACTACCAATAGAGACAATTTTGAAAATTTTTACTCGAACTCAACTATTTTATCTTTCAACTGGAACACGTCCAATGTTTCCATTGGCAAACGTCAGCACTCCCCCATTATATTCCACAGTTGTAACAATTCCGTCAAGAAAATAGAAAATTTCATTTCACGCAACATCCTTATGGACCGTCTGTCTAAAGTTGATCTTCCTTCTGATTTATCATCAATTCAAAGTGCCTTTCAGTCTGTGATCATGTCTGCTAGAACCAACTTTCCTGACATTGAGTCCTTCTCACCTAAACCTTGGTGGAATCCTTCACTGTCAACACTGTTCCGCAAATACCAAGCTGCAAGGAAAAAAATGAGTAAATATGCCAATCCAGCCAACTACATTGAATATATGAAAATACTGAAAGAATGGAGGTCGGCAGTTAGAAAGGCGAAAAGGGTACATAGAGCCATCGCTATTAAAGAGTTATGTGGTAACGGCAATCCACGTTCCTTTTGGAATTATATCAATGGACATCGACATTCTAGTCGAAAATTAAGTGGATGTGCTGTATGGAATGACCGTGATAATAAAAAATACTTAGATATGCTCAAGAACTACATTCCAATTGTTAATCCTATTACAATGCCTTCAATTCCTTTTAGTAGTATCAGTAACACACCCTTTTCATTACATGAGCTAATGTATGTCTTACATTCCAGAAAGAGGGCTACTGCTGCAGGTTGTGATGGAGTCAAGTATGACATGCTCACAGCACTGTCTGGAGGAAGCGTCAGCATGCTTTTGCATGCAATTAACAACTGCTGGTCCACCAACTGTATACCCTCTGATTTGCGTTGCATCAAAATAGTTCCCATTCCCAAGCCAGGTAAAGACTTAAATGACTTAAGTAACTTCAGACCAATTTCACTAATATCTGTATTCATAAAGACCATCAACCTCATGGTTAAGGAGAGACTAACAGCTTTCCTGAAAACTAAGAACATTATTCCAACTCGGTCTTACTCCTATCAAAAACGCAAATCTACGAATATGTGCGTTAATGAACTGTGTTTTCTCATAGCCAGCTTAAAAAAAGCAGGGAAAATGGTTGTCATGCTCTCCCTTGACATCAGCAAAGCCTATGACTGTGTCAACTTGATTAAGCTTGGCAGAATTCTCCTAAACTTTTCGATTCCTCTTCAAATGAGGCTGTGGATACTGAATTTTTTATCCAAGCGTGTTTTGGTGATGGGTACCGAAAAAGTTGAAATATGTGGTGGTATCCCACAAGGCAGTTGTTTAAGCCCCATACTCTTCAATTTGTACGCAGCTTCTTTACATGATCTTCAAGATGACAAAACTCACATTTTTCAATACGCAGACGATTTTCTAATCGTATCTGCGGACTCATCTTTTCCAGCAGCTGTCAATAACCTCTCGATAAAAGCGAACTTGTTTTTCGATGCATGCACTGATCTTAATTTATATTTTAACCCCAACAAGACAAACACCATTTATTTTGCCAAAGGTTCTAAACGTGAAATCAGACTTCTCATCAAAGGTACCCAAGTTAATCAGGTAAAATCTATTCGATTTCTTGGGAGAATTTTAAATGACAGCTTAACCTTTCGTGGGCACTATGAAAAGGCATTCAAAGATTGTCAGTCTGGATGCAACATCATCAAACTCATGACAAACAATCAGGCAGGCTTGCCTCCCAAAAATGCTTTGACCGTTTACAAATCTCTAGTCAGGTCCAAAATTGAATTTGGACATTCCACATGTTGCAATTTCCCAAAATATATTGAAAAACGTATACAAGCATCTGAAAACCGAATGTTGAAGCGTTGTACTGGATTGACCCCCTCAACTCCTCAACATATTCTCAATGTCATATCTGGTGAATGGCCGGTTTCCGAAAGAGCCCTTCTTTGCACGGCTAAGGAGTTAATTAAAGTCAAGATGATAAATCCTTACTTTTTTCAGGAAATTATATCTCTCAGTGACAGTGTCACTTGCAGCTATACTTTTTGCTACCAAAAACTTCGTCATATTTTTGATAAGTTGGATTCAATTCCCCCCTCGAATTTTATTACCAGCAAATGCAGAGTCTTCATGAACATTCTCGAATCGATCTCTACCTCAAAACAAAATGTCAACTTCTCCTGTATAAGGTTGTTATGCCAAGAAAAGCTCCTTTTTTACTACAACAACGGATACGATATATATGCCACTGACGGTTCTGTCGGTCATAATGAATCTGGCTTCTCGGTCGTGAAACATCTATCTGAAACAGTACATCGAGTTAAAGTGGAAGAGGAACTTTCCTCTTCTTTTATTGAGTTGCTCGCCATTCGACATGCCATTAAGGCTGCTATTTCTGATGGTATCAGAAGGTTCGTTATTTTTTCTGACAGCAGGTCTGCTCTACTTCTAATAAATAAAAGAGATGCAGAAAATCAATATGCGTTTGATATTCACAAGATGTTGCATGAATCTCAAGTGGATGATTGTCACCTCGTTTGGGTACCTGGCCACTGCGGCTTTTTTTTAAATGAAAAAGCCGACTTTCATGCAGGGAGAGCTCGTGTTGATGGGACAAGTTTGTCCATCAAATATACTCCGAATGAAGCAATTCGAGCAATTCGCAACCACATCTTTCAACAGCTAAACGACGAATTTAAAGAAATCGCGCGCGTTAAATCCAACCGCCTCTTCTATAAATTAAATCCCACACTTCAATTCAAACCCTTCTCCGTATCTTCTTTCAATTCCTGGGAAATCAAAATTCTTTATAGACTTATGAGTGGTCATACTTATGACAAAGTTTATTTAAAAATGATTCGCGCTATACCATGTGATGTTTGTGAAGTTTGCAATGTTGTTGAGTCTGCTGAGCATCTAATCTTCAGATGTCACAGGCTTGATGGCATTAGAAATTCTTTTAGCTTCTTCAAGTTATATGGCTGTCTCCTCGATCTCTTTGCAGCAAAAAATGTACACCATCTCGGGGAACTAACTTGCTTTATTAGAAAAGCTAATTTATCCTTTTAGAATTTTTCTTTTTCCTCCTCTTTCCTTTTTTTTTTTGCGTTTAATCATTTTCAATTACGATAACATTCCTTTTCGTTTTCAGCCAAAGTTTGCAACACTGTTTAACTTTCAAGAACTCAACAAGCACAATTACACACACACACACACACACACACACACACACACACACACACACACACACACACACAATTACATTTAACATACTCACTCCAGTTATTACGGCCGCTCTTATTTTTTTGTTACGTTTTATACGTAATCGTGACTAAAAATTACAACAGTTTATTATTTGGACATATAAGCCACAAATCTATTGGCTTAGTCCATCTCCTTGTTCAACATACCAAAAAAAAAAAAAAAAAAAAAAGAAGCGACATTTTAATATTCATGTGGAACATTAAATAAGCAAAAGTTCTGCTGAAGAACAAGAGCTTGAAGAATCGAGTGTTACAATGCTGGACGTTTTGGAGGAAAAAAAAGAACTATAGGTGTTGGGAGCTTCAGATGAAAACAAAACTGTTGCATTTCAGTTTCACAATACATTGGCATGATTGCATATTTGTCTAGATGGAACAAAATAAATGGTTAACATGCATATAGGTGTTTTTATTTCTAATGTGTATACCACCCATTGATTTTACAGGTGTTTTTCTTTCTAATCTGTATACCACCCATTGCAATCTGTCACAAAACATATGACTATTAAATTTAATTCTTGTTTGGACATTCAGATTTCTGCTGAACAGCTGATCATAAAAACAGCTTTGAAGTGTATTACTTTTTTTAAATTATCGAAAAAAATGCAATTACGGATTAATCTAGTGTTTGTTAAAAGCGGAAGAAATCAGTTGACAAGCTAAAAGTTATCGCTTATTATTTAAAAATGGATAAAGAGAATCCCTTTGTTTTGCATGCTTCTTGGGCCTTTTTCCAGCTAGCCAAAGGTAACTTGTTGAAATTTATGGAAATGGCAATGTAACAACTAAACCTACAGAATTGGATGGCGTGAAGTAAGCCGTGGATAGCAAACTGTTACGCTGAAGATATGCAGCTGGTCGTACACATGAACAAGCCCGAAGTGACTATTGAAAGAAAAAAAAAAAATTATTTCCAAAAAGCAAAGCATGCTGCCTTAAAAAAAAAAATTTAACACATCTTTAACAAGTAGGAATATTACTCCAGATGTAGCGGCAAGTTGTCAACAGATGAGAAAAACTCGAATTAAAAAGTTGAAGACGACGAGGAGTGTGGAGATTGGAAGCGATTATGCTAATATTGTATTAAATGAATGGGTTCTTACTCAAGACAATTCAAAAAAGTTTGCATGTCTACAGACCGATGATATACCATTGTTGGCTCTTGATGATGAATCCAAACAAGCCATTTTAAAATCTCAAAATACTTGGCAACATGTAAACATCGGGCA